TTGATTATATTTGGAGTAAAAATTTGTATATTTTAACCAAAACATTTTCAAGATTTTAAAAGAAATTCTGAGATTCAAAGACGACTTTGGGAGAATATTCTTTGTCAGCTTTACATGCTGGCAGAATCTCTCAACTGACACTGCTGAAATTGTCACCATATCTCGTAATCAACCGCACTTATTTAGAACGTCCATTAATAATGTCGCTCTAATTATTTCTTCTTAAAAGATTTTTCGCCTGACGCAGTTACATATTGCAACAACTAATAAATGTCGATTATTATAACTTTACTTAATTAAACTTTTAAAACTTATTTCTCGAGCGTTTAGGTTATGAGAAAAGGAAACATCAATGCACGTCAATTGAAAATGTACCCACACATCTCAGAGACAGGAAAGAGACGAAGGGAGGAAGGAAGCTAATAGTTTACTGCTTTCGGAAGATCACTCTTAAAGCAGAGTAGGCTTCTAATGTAATTCCAAGTTTTGCATTAGTTTAAAATATTAGCAGGTGCAAAAAACTGTTCTCCTTTGTGTTATCTTAATACAAAGACTCGAGCGTGGTTCTTCCGATGGAGAACAATTAAATCTATTAATTAGCCCAAAAAGTGGTAACGACGAGAAACAGCTATCCCGAAATAACGTTCTACCTCAATTTATTTTTATGGTAATCTGATGTTGAAATAACCATTTTTTAGTTACAAGATACAAGCAACTGAAAAACATTGAACTATTTTCTGGTTGAGTGAAACAGTTCGTGCCTCAGGTAGCTTGTTTATACAGCTGTTGTTTGTGCCTGAGGGTAAGGAGCTCTGTTTTTGACGCCTGCTGTTTATTATCTGAGTACCCGTGTAGGGGAAAACATCATGAGGTTGTTAAACTTCAAATGCAAAGGCGGCAGAAAGAAAAAAATAACCGACGAGAGGTTGCTGTTGTGAAATGCCTTTGTCTTGTTAACAAAGCTGTTAATTAAGGCTACATTCTGCTTTGTTACTAGGTTCCTTGTGGGAAAAAATATCCCAATATTTTTCTTTTGTCATCCATCAAAGAGGTCTTGCAGTTTAAATTACTTCTACGATCTCTGCGAGTGAGATACTATGCCTGCACTTAAGACTAATCTCTCCATCTGGGAACAGTGAGAATAAGACTAAAACGTTCATTAAACATTCATTGCATCGGCAGTTCTTTTTCTGATAGCTAAAATATATTCCAGCGCTATTTTGGATTATTTTCGGTAAGTATGCTGTAATTTTTCACCCTGAGAAAAATTTTTCAGTTTTTTTTGGAATTGATATTGAATGTTTGCAACATTCTCCTATCTAACCATCTAGATTTTCCTTTCCTCACACAATTTTTAGTTTATAATATATACTTAAATGAGACTAAAAGGTGAAACTCCAAGGCACTATCAGGGTGGTGTAAAACCTCATATTTTTCGGAATACCTATCTTTGCAAAATCTTCGACATTGTCAAGTTTGTTAGTTTTCTAAAGGTTCTAATCGTGTAATTTCATAAATAAATCTTACTCACTTGGAGTTACAATTTAAGAGTGGGGAATAAGAACAGACAATTTTTAGTTCGCAAATGTATTCGGCTCGAATCGTTTCATCTGTTTGTGATTTTTCATCAAAAGACGTTGACAGCCAGGAAGTAGCACTTCAGCCTTTTGTGATAAAGAGGACACTCTAAGCGATTTCCGTTTAAGGATGTGTAATAACCTGATAACCTGTGTTTAGAGAAATGAAAAAAATTAGAATGAATGCCCTGATTCTTATGACAAGTCTTACTTCAAAGCTTTAAGGTGTTTCTCCATATCACTTAATTTTCTCAGTAAACGTAAAAAATTTCACGGAGAAAAATATTAAATTTGAGAAAATTTTATTTTGTGCTAAGGAAAGTTCTACGTACAAGGAGGAAACAGGCTAAGTCACCTCCAGTCTGCTTGTCTGGTGTTTCAGCTGTCTTTGAGTTTGTCTTTTCAACCAAATTTGTACACGAGAGACACCCCTCAAAAACAAAATTTGATCTTCTCTCCCGTCGTTCGTTTTTGGTTGTTTGAGTTTCCATTCTCGCGAGCCCAATGTTTTGATTTCGTTTTTGTCACCTTTCACCTCTTCAACAAAAAGCCCTCTCCTATTGTGATGGAAATCAGAGCTAATTTAACATGATAATTTCTACCGAACGCCAACTTCTGGAAATGTCTTGTGAGAATAAAGGGGTATTTTTCAATGAGGGAACCTCAAAATCGTCTGAAAATTTTCAGCAACTTGAGTCTTGCACTCAGAGGTATTAAAAACACCACATTGAGACAGTACTCGTTTCCAAAGGCCTATACCGTAGGCCTTGTACCGCATAATTTCGCACGAAACTTTATTGAGAGATTTGGTCGGGACAGGGGAGTCAAAAACATGAGGGTAATAAGCTCAACAGTGCGTTGTTTGGGAGGAAGTATTAGTTGTCCGATTCAAATTAAAATGAACAAAAGGTCCTTTTCGACTCAATTTCTAGAACTAACCGCTCAAGAGAATTTTTTTTTACTTTTTACTTTACGCGGAAGTCAAAATGTGTGTCTTCTTACCAGCGGTGTCTCCTTTCGATATTATTAAAAATACAAGCTTTAAAACGGTGCGGTGAGTACGCTTAGATGACTGTTTACGACCTTATCCAGTTAGCAGAGGGTCGGAAATTTCTGTCTTTGTCACTTTGCACGTCCTAGATTATTATCGAACGCCGTATTTTTCACCAAGATTTCTTTCCACCTCATCGATTCCATTCGTGGTGGCCCTCAGAATGTATAACTTAGTTTCATTTACTCTGTTTCATGATGAAAAAATGACGATAATTACGATGATAATAATCATCATCATTTCCATAAAAACAATTTGTCTTCTCTTAGTTATTGTAACGTTAACCACTGTCAATAATATCTACTTATTGACTGAGTGGGAGGGCCAGACGGGAAAATAGTTGGCTGAAGGTCAGCACGTACGAGCCGAGCACGGCGAGGTCCGTGCTTCATGAACGAAAGCCAGGCTCGACCTAACACAGTCAATAAGCATTTTATCATATGACCTCTGACTAACTAGGACACGATTGGCTGGCGTTCGCGGGAGAACCACAAAAACGATTCTAGAAACTTTTCCTTTATTTTTTCGAGTCAGAACAAGAAAATCATAAGTCATCGAAAAACGTTACCTGTTTGCTCCTTTTCGTTCACTGCTGTCACTCATATACATAAATAACAGCAAACAATGTATCTTTTTGCCAACGAAGCCGTACAAGTGCACTGGGACCGGACGGCTTTTTCCGGACCGGCTCACGTCAACCCGTCCCGCCCTTCACACGTCAGTTTTCGCAATGGTTTTCTATGGGATTGCGCGAGCCGGGCCTGACAGGTCGTGATAAAACACTTTCATAGTATTGAAACACAACAAGGACCTTCGGCGGCTTCATCCATCCTTTACCCTTTTCTATTAAGATGGCTCACATGTCCTACGACAAAGGAACATATTATACATCACAATACATATGTAGATTGTAAAGGGAGAAGATGAAAATTCTGGTCTAGAAGACATTCTCCTATAATTGGTAGAGGCCTTTGCGATTTATATTTGGAATAGATGACTTAATTTTTTCAAGGGTCATTGGAAGGGCGGCTTATCAGTCTCCTGGTATAGTTGGAGCAGTAAGGAATCATTCTCGTATCGAAGCGCAGTAAATAATATTGAAGTCTGCTGAAGAGGAACTGACACACACCCACCAATAGATAGACAAAAAAAACACAAAGAAAGAGACAAACAGTCAAAGAAATACAGATGAAAACAATGGACGCCAGTTGGAGGGAGAACATTTTTTAATGAGGCATTCGTAAACACCTACAGAGGTACTCGAAAACTCCTTGAAAGTTATCAAATGGCATTACTTTTAACGGTTGCGTTCATACGATCAAAATGTCCAATTGGTTTCATTGCATCAATAATAACTTTACATTACTCATCATAATGTTCCTGTTGATCCTACTTCTCTTGATTTGTTAAACGTCCAGTTGATTCTTTGTACTCGCCGAGGTGGCAATTGTTCGCTTCTTACCGCACCACAAGCCAGGAGGACAGCGCTTTTCAAACGTTTTCAGCGACAATTCCCCTTCTTCTTCGTTGGACCCAATCAAATTATCTCCAGTAGTGGTACGCTTCTTCCCACACCACAAGCCAGGCGGACAACGCTTTTCGAGGGCGTTGATAAAGTCATCTTCATTCTCCATGGTTTTTGGTATACTTCGTTTCTTCCCGCACCATAATCCAGGAGGACAGCGCTTTTCAAAGGTCTCAATCGACGAGTCTTCAGCATGTTCCTCTAGTGGTGCAGTATTCACTGCTTCCTGATGGGACAACTCTCGCTTCTTCCCGCACCACAAGCCAGGTGGACATCGCTTTTCAAAGGTCCTAATCGACGAGTCTCCAGCATGTTCCTGTAGTGGTGCCGCATTCATTGCTTTCTGACTGGATAACTCTCGCTTCTTGCCGCACCATAATCCAGGAGGACAGCGCTTTTCAAAGGTCTCAATCGACGTGTCTTTAGCATGTTCTTGAAGTGGCGCAGCATTCATTGCTTTCTGACTGGATAACTCTCGCTTCTTCCCGCACCACAAGCCAGGTGGACAACGTTTCGCAAACTGGTCGGCGAGTTTGTTAGCGTCACCAAAATTTTTGGCTTTGTTTTGACTGCTATCTTTCACTTGTCGCTTCTTACCACACCATAATCCAGGTGGGCAACGTTTTTCAAAAACATGGGCGATAAGGTCGGATGGCTTTGATACCTCCCTTGAGAACATACGTTTTTTACCACACCACAGGCCAGGTGGACACCGCTTCTCGAATGCTTGCGCTACATTTGAGGAGGGTTCATTGTAGTCACTATTCGGGCTCTCCATGTAATAACACGGAGCATAAAAAATAAGAAGCAAAAGCCCAGTGTAGATTGTCATCTTGATCTGAAAAAAATGATCGGTATAAATGTGTCTTTCATTCAGGGAAAATTTAACTAGAAATAGAAATGTGATAATGAGACAAACACTTAAGCATCTCTGCAAAAGCTGTGGGAGTTGCGCTTTAGCAATCTGACAATCTGCGCTGTCTTTCCACGGAGTTTAATGGTTTACACTGTTTGATATATATATCTCTATATATAATATTTTTGTCTCTGAGGAGGAGTGATTTTCGCAGCAATGAACGCTACTTAAGGTTACTTCCCACCTTCGCGGTTGTTCTTCGGGAAAAAATTCGTGTGTGTGCCAGTTTCACTAAAATCCTAGCAAACTATATATCAGAAGAAAGCTTAATAAGAAGAAAGGAGTTTTATAAGTCAAACTTTTTGAAGCAATTAGATCCATGGCTCGAAGGAGAAAAATCGTGATAGGTAAGTTACATTAACTGACTAGGTTCATGGAATACATACATCCTATATGTTGCCAGGGTATAGCACCCAATTTTGTACTGCGCCGACAGGTTGTGAACAGAGAAGATTGAATTTAGTAGTTATTAACTCAGCCATACTTATAAAAGACACATCCTATTTTTCCCAACCGGAGCCATTAATATTGCCCCCTGTAATTCCACTACTTTTTTTCTAAAGAAAGAAAGTTGTACTTTGAAAGTTGTACTTTGTCTATTTTGAATTCTTTATATGAAGGAACCCTGATCATCAACGTCTGAGATTACCCTCGCTGCTCTTTCCTGTAGCTTAAGAAAACGGCCTAGATTCTTCGTATGACAGCTAGTCCAGATTGTGCTAATATAATACAAAACAGATCTTATCTTGGTGCTATAAAACAATATCCTTTGTTTCATGGGAAGGTAAAATCGTACCTTTTCAACATCTCAATTTGCTGAAGAGCTTTTTAGAAATGATCTGTTACAAAGTAAATTATATTCCCAATTTTCTTAGTAATTCGTTTTGTCGCGCAGAGGCCAAACCAAGACACATCTAAAAAAACAAAAATTGCTCGATAAACAATTTTTATTCTTTTATTCCTCCATGAGTGCAAACAAAGCTACAATTTTTAAAAGCCTCCCGCAGATTTGTGTCTTCTGCCTCCGCGGAGGACACGGAGGTCACGAAAAGCAGGTTCCGTGGGATCAAAGGGAAATATAGATATCGAAATTGTTTCTTCTATAGCTACTGCAAAAATGCCTCATCGAAAAAAGTTTGGTCTAGATCGTTACCGAAGAATGTGTAAGCAATGCTATTTACACACCGAATGAGAGGGTCTGTCAGGAATGGTTTCGAATGCTGTGATGACTGTCCAATCAGCTAAATTTCCTTTTATATAGGAGCGATTCCGGGAAACACATATCTATGATGTGGCGACATCGAGAAGATAATTTTTCTCAAGTCTATCCATACCATGAAAACATCAACCGTTTGTACGTTTTTCACTTTGATGGAGATGAAAGGAATATCGGTGATTTTTGCGTGTTTTACCCTAGAAGTAGGGTAAAAGAGTCTATTTGACGGACTCCTTGATCAAAATATCGCACGAAAAAAAGAAACTGACCCTTTTATCCTGGATTTGTTCTCGGCTACTTTGCATTCCTGAGATATTTTTCCGAGAGAAAAAATAAATCATTGCTATACCAGCTCTCTCTTCTTTGCTTTGTATGAGTATCAAAGCATAAAGATTTATCATCTACCCTACCTTGTTCTCAACTTGGTTTTTCTGTGCACTAAGGGAATTATTTCTGGTCGCACACTCGCCTAGACGTTTTCTTCTTTCCTCTCAGGAGATAGTTTATTTTTATTTTGCATAGCTATGGCATGAACACAGATGTTTCAGACGGTAAAAGCAAGGGCAGATTGCTGACACTACATAAGCAAAGTATGAGCAACTCGCCAGGAAATTTCCCGGGGTTATTGTGCTCTAGTTTGACAGCTTGTTTTGAATTCAGAGAGAGCCACTTTATCAAAAGGATAAACAACGAATTACAACGATGACATAAACATCTCCTATAACCAGGTGCCACTGGTGTGCTTTGGGAATATCGGTCGACGAAAGTGTTGGATCATGACGTTGCTTGCAAGACCAGTAAGAAAGAACTTTAATTGGCTGATTTTATTCATCGCCCATCGGGTTGCCTCGCTCCTGTTTCAATTCAGAATCAGGTTTGAACCATGTTGAAAATATCGAAGCCATTTTAAATCATTAATTTATCTTTTCGTTTTAGGTATTACAGAATGATTGGTGGTCATATTTCTCGACACTGAGTTTTGGGTCGTGGCAGCTTACTAAACAACCTACACTGCCGACAGGTCTACTCAGACCACGACAATCAAAGTGCACAAAAACGAGCTCAACCTGGTCGTTCATAATAGCATAGAACGCATACGTTAATGACAAAGCAGCTCTCAATAATTAGCTTAAAAAAACTAGTCATTTAGTAGATAAAGCACTACTTGCTTTATTTGGTCTGGATCGATTTCCTATTTTGGCGGCAATTTTTTTTCTTTGTTTCTTTTCAGCTATTCAAGCAATTTTTTGCTGTTTTGTTTTCAACCCTTAAGACGGTTTTGATCCAAAAATGGCTAAATTGGTCTATCTACACATTGGTAGGTCCAAGAAAAAATATGATTAAAAATGAAATTAATATATCATTGTGTTCACAAGATCTTCTTCGTTTTGAAAATTCTAGCAAACTCTGAGTACAAGCTTATTACTCCTTGATCTTTGTCAATCTTGATAAGTTTGAAAATAAACTGAGTATGACACAGCTTTAGATTATCAGCCAGTTCTAACGATCACACATTAGCGCTGTTAGGCCTATCCCAGAAGAAAAGAACTATTAACGTTTTCTTTTTCCAATCCACCCTTGAAAAAGTTATAGTATCGTAATAACTTTCCATCCGTCCAGAGGTGAAATATGCTGGCTAAATCAAAATGCCGAATTTTCCCATGTATAAAGTGATTTACTGTACATTTTCGTTACAAATGATACAAATGGCTCAAGTTGACATACCGCAACGAAACCTAACTCAATTTTTAAGAGGTAAAATCTAAGTTCTCAACCGGTTTCCCTCAGCTAAAAGTGAACTACACTGACGACATTGAACACATTTTAAGACAATCATTCCGTAGTTCAAAACAAAAGAAAATATTGTTTCAAATCAAAGACACAAAAATTGAAAAAAAAAATGGTTTAAACCATTTCTCAGAAAATGGCTAAAGTACTAAGTGGGTAATAAGAGTCTTACCAGCTCACTTATCAGCAGATTGAAAACGTCTTCCGCCGCTTCTGCAGACTAACATGGAATGAGGATTTTTCAATAAAACCAGTGTCTTTATACCCATCGCCGTTCGTCTTTTTTTAAGCCCTTCTTTTGGTATTATGCTCGAGTCCTCTGTTTTTACAATCAAAATTCAATGAAGTCTAATCCTCTGAACATCGTAAACAAAGTACCAGTGACGTTAACTTTCATTTTTCTGAGAGAGTTGCTCTCGCTGCTACCACAATGGCTATGTAGGCGGTGCCGAGTTCCAGCTGGGTCTCCGTGGATTATTTTTTGACTGTTTTTTATACCATGTTGATTGGGATTTTACGGTGCTTTGTAAAAATTCCCCTTGGGAAGGAAACGCATTTTTAATGAATATTTTTGTTTTAATTCCGAAATTTTGTTATTCTTGTTAAATCCGGAGTTCATTTCAAAGTAAATTGCACACAATCTTCGTTTATTTTGCAGTTAAGTTTCTTTGTCTATTTTGCTTTTTTTATCAACGCGACTCGGCTTACAGAGTCCAAACTCCAACGACATGAAGCTTAATTTTATCAAAAATAATAGCATAATCTTAACAAATGATGGTCGATTTGTGGAATATAGAATATGGAAACTAAATTTTGAAAGGTTTCGGTTTCACAAATAAAATTTTTTTCTCTTCATTTGGCGCATTTCCGTCTCAGAAACAAAGAAAAGAACCCGTTGTATTGTAGGCGATTTAAGCAATTGATCCCTGCAGGGCAATGTTTTCCATGTGCGGCGATTTGTAATTGAACGATCTTTTGAAGAGCTACCTGCTCCTACGTGCTACGAGAGATTGATAACAAACGCATCTGGATTATTCTCTAAACGAGCTAAATTCATCACTTTGGAAATATTTCACTCTCTTTACCCATGATGACCAATGAGGGAGAACAATTTTTACCGCGTTTTAACGGTTTGTAATCATCCTATAAAAATTGATGGTTAATGGCTCACCGTCAAGAATTGAATTTAGACCCTCTTTCAATGTATTATGACGGCTTTCGGAGCATTGACTGCGAAAGGCATTTTTGTAACTAACCCATGGAGTCTTATCTTTTACTGAGGATTGTTTTATGCTACAGACCACAGATGCCAATCGAAAGCTGGAAAGGAAACGTTTTGTCCACATCTCTTTGATATTCCTTGGCAGCTATAACAGAAAACTATTTCATGGTCAGCATAACAGAACACTTTTTTCAGTTTTCCCCTGCAGGCTTAAAATATTTTACTGCGTAGGATTTAATCGGCCTCAATCAACCGAATTGTCAGGCTAACTTATAACACAGTGGTCCACCGGATAAGTGGTGGACAAGTTCTATAAGAGGAATTATCCTGCATGCAGAATAAATATCACAGCCTGATTATTCATTAGGCGTCTCCTTCCTCACGAATTATTCACATGATACTTTCTCACAGCAGAATATCAGACTTAATTTTATCTTGTTTCTTGGTTTCTTCACGAGGATATCATAAACTACTTGAAACATCTTTCCTTGAATGTTTGTTATAATTGTGCTCGAGCACTCGTGGCTCGCTGGTTTTCCTATCATTAAATAGTCCTCAGAGTGAACGAAATTAGTTCATCGAGGAATTATTTTGTCACCATCACTGTATTAGATGTATGCTTTAACGAAAAAAGAATGGCAAAAAAAAGTGTGTTCTTCATTCAAATTTCAAAATTCTACTTAATATAGGCGCTAGGAAATATTGAATTCATAAAAACAGAGCCATCTGGTATGCTTGTTTAATCTAGCGTTATCTTGATCGAGTGATAAGTGATTTATGAACATTGCTAAAATAGAAATTTTACTTGGCTTCGTCTCTTAGTCTAGACCTCGACAGCTTCTAGGAAAATTATCCATATTTGACTTTGTCGCCTGGAGGGTGAGAACATCAACCACCGCTTAAATGGATCGCATATCTTTTTCTAATAATTAGTAGGTTAATTACGCTATTTAATGTTTGAACAACTTAGGTCCGAATCAGTGTTTCTTTTCTTATGCCATGCCGCTTAATTTAACGATTTTGTGAAAGCTTTCGTTCATACTGATCCTTTTTTCGGAATTTGGTCCAAATAGTTTTAACATGTAAGAGACGGTTGTTAGGCTAAGCCCTCGGGTGCCATAAGTGTGCCAACATTTGTCTGAGTTTTTTCACCTTTGCGCAGGGTGATAATGATAACTGATTATTAATGTAAATTGTGAATTTGAATCCAGACAGTTTGTACCGACATGCCTGTGCATGATTTCTCGCGAGAAATCTATCTAACCGACGATAAGCAGAAAAGTTCACTTTGCTATGGTTTTTTTTAGTTGCGATGCGAATGCAGCTTAATACACAAACCAGGCAATTACATCACTTCATGGCCATGGATTGACATGAGTCACTGAACAAGTTCTTCATTTGTGGCGGTTTGGATCTTAGATCAGCAGAGAAAGATCAGCGATCCGCTTAAAAAGGGGTAAAAATTACCCATAGATATAGAATAAATCCAAACATAAAAAGCGTGTGACAATCAGTGGTCAAAAGTCTCCTACTATCCTAGCACAAAGGCCTTCGCGAATACTATTGACACGAAGGTCGCGGCGGTACGAATCGAAGCCATGCTTGATTTTTTTCCTATTTAATCTATTTCTGGTCACTTGATTTCAAAGGAATTCTGAAGAACAAAGTACTTCGAGTTTGACAACTGATAACTGAACGTTTCAAAATTGTGTTCGATAGACAAGACTTCAGAAACGAATTGTAATGAAAGTTGGACATAAGTCGCAACAGCTGTAGGTTGCTTTGAAATTTTGTAATGGGCTTTTGTCGATGCATCATAAATTTTAAGTGAAGAAAGGTTAAAATCTGTTTCCGAAAAAAAATCAGTTAAAAAAATGGCGAACAAAAAAGCAATTTTCAAGTCAGTCTCCCTCGTCACTCTCGATAACGACTTCATCCTTTTTCACATGAATTTGGACAACTTTCAACTTACGTTGATATTTAGGAAGGTACTTTCACTAACGGAGATGAGTCTGGTGGTCAAATTTTGAGGCAATTAAGCGTTCAATTCTTTCATTGTTTAGTAAGTAACGACCATTTCTCGGAGAAGATAGCTCGCATCATTAATTGTTAACTTATTTGTATTTTCAACACTCTGTTAGGTTATAAAATCTTCAATGACCTTCCGACTTTCGCCGATGCCTGCTTTGCTTTCTAAATCAAGGATTTGAAAACATCGGGAAGGTAAATTCCCTCGATAAGTACGCGTCTTCTTCGTCCATTTACAAGTTAAAAAAAGGTAGTTGTCTTGCTAAGTGAGAGTATTAAGACATTTTTCTTCTGCATTCTTCTTTTTAAAATGAAGCTGAATTTTTCTGGCTTTCGAAAGTGACAAATGCACAACTTTTGTCCCAATCACTTCCGTGAAAAAAAGTGCGTCAGGCTAATAAATGCTAAACTAGTCCCCTATTCAAGGAAATCCTTTTGAATTTTTTCTTTACTCCATATGTTCAATATATACACTTAGAGTGAAAGCAAATCTCCGTCAGGATCCAAACAGTTATCTCGATGGTTTCAATTCATAGAGAAAGTATTCTCCCAAATAATAAGAGCCGAAAAAAATATGTAAACTTTTCGTCATGAGATACTCTGGAATTGGCACATTTCTCCCATTTAGTTATTTTTTATTATTTACAGGGATGAGGAGTTTGACATAGATCACTGATTTTCAAAAAGTTTAAGACAGCTTAAGTTTGTCTTAATCGACTGTGCGGGAACTGATAAGTCCAGGAATAGCTGCTGATCTACATTTTGTGGTAGTTAAGTTTGATCTGTGCCGGGAAGAATGAGAGTGGCTGCCATATTCGGGGTAATACGACTCATTCATTAAAATGGATAGACATTGTTAAAACTTCTAACAAAACGTCGATCGTGATATTGAGCAACAATTACTATAACAGATTCATTATTCGTAAACCGCCCTAAAGTCTTTGTACAGATTTCTCCCAAAACTAAAACGACCTCTTCAATGCCATCATTCATTATTTTAGCCAAAAGAGCAGAAAAATCAGTCAGCATTTATCTAGAGACAGGCGTAAAGTGTGGAGGGGGAAGGGAGAAGGAAATAGAGAGGAAACGCGCAAAGGCTAAAGACTAGCTTCCTTTACCATGAGAAAAAATTTCTGTTAAGTGCATGTTTACTTAATCAGAAAGTTAAGTTGTTACAATTGCCCATTGCTACAGCATGTAGCAATACCCGATACCGGTTCAAAGAGTAGCAGGGGATGCACTGTCTCAAAGGAGTTCTACGTTTAGGGTTGAAGTGTGCTTGTGGGCAACTTATCAGTGTCACTAGGTTAACTTCCCTAATTTTAGTCACACATACCCACACTTATACTGTATTTTCTTTCCATTTCGTGAAAGACAAAGGGCACATTTCCTAAAGGTAATTGCATAGTAACGCAGTTTCCTGATTTAAGTGCGACAGGTT